AATGAACTGAAGCAGTATGAAATAATCTTAATTTCATATTCTGAATTTTAGGAAAAAATCCTAGAGCTAGCAATATTAGTAAATGTGAAAAACTGTTACCCTCCTATCCATGGTATAACAAATAAATAGAATGTTTGTCTCCATAATAAAAGTAGCAACAAAAATTAATCATTCTTCTGTTTTGCCAGAAATATACTGTTCCTAATAAGTGAAATTTTAACTATTTATAACAGGAGAATTTAACCTACAAACTTCTGTTAACCAAGAGCAATCATCAAAAGCAAAAAGAAATAAGCCACAATACTCTAAAACAGTTTATATACCATAATCCAACATAAGGATAAGTACACTGTATACACTGAATATCTATTGAATTAAATATACATGAAAGTAATACCATGAGTGCTGTAAATGAAAAGTCTAAAAAATGGATCTTGAGGGGCCAGCACTGTGCTGTAGTGAGTAAGGCTACTGCCTGCAGTGCTGGCATCCCACATAGGTGCCGATTCGAGTCCCAGCTCCTCCACTTCCGATCCAGCTCTCTGCTAGGAGCTGGGAAAGCAGTGGAAGATGGCCCAAGTCCCTGGGCCCCTGCACCGCATGGGAGACCCAGAGGAAGCTCCTGGCTCCTGGCTTTGGATCAGCACAGCTCTGGCCATTGCGGCCATCTGGGGAGTGAACCAGTGGATGGAAGGAAGACCTCTTTCTCTCTCTCTCTCTCTCTCACTCTCTCTCTCTCTCTTTCTGCCTCAGCCTCTCTGTAACTCTGTCTTTCAAATAAAATAAATGAATCTGTAAAAAAGAAAAAAAAAAGAAAGAAAGAAATGGATATTGAAGAGTAAGAGGAAAAAAATTTTATTTTCTTATTTTCTATTAAGGGAAAGCCTATTTTTTAGAATCCTAAAGTTTGACAAATACATGCATTTCCGTTTTACGACTTAAAAATAGGCTTTGTTTAAAAGTGTCTTCCATACTAAACTAACGCTAAACATGTAAGTCATCTCTTATTTTGAAACTTAGAAATTTTTCAGTAAAATAAGTTCTAAATAATAAGATATTCTAATCCCTTAAGTGTCCATGAGTTAGCTGTTCGTCAGTTGTATTTATTTACTTGCTTGTAGCTGACTGAAGAGTCTATGGCATCAGAGAAGCCAAATCTATAAGAGGTGGACAGGTAGATCACGATCACGACAGGTAGGATCGGAAGAAGCCCAGCAACCTAAAACCCCACTGGTAACACAGGAGTTCTAACAGCTCTCAATCATTTGTACACAGTAACACCTATTCTAAAGCACCAGACTGCAACTTCACAAGTGTATTTATTATAAAACCAATTCTTACAACAATCTAATAGAAAAAGCTGAACAAATATATCTAAAGATATGAGGACTAGAATGTTTTTTTCTAAGTTGTGTTCTATTAAAGATACTGACATTTCAGAAACTCCAGAGAAGTTTCTAGTAGGAAAAGCTAAGTCACCCCAACAGAGATGATGATGTTGTAGAACAAGTGACATCTCACCATCCTGATGACTAGTCTACTGTGCCAAAGCTTAGAGAGACCCAGAATAATTTACTGCCTTTCAAAGTTAAGAACATTCCAAGATAGGAAGAGCTTTACTAGCAAATATACCATACAACATATTTCCATCCCGTTAAACTAATTTTAAAATCAATATATAATGTATAGTACTAAAAACTAATTTTTAGACCAACTCAATGTTTATTCACCCACTTTGTAAAAATATGACAATTAAAAATATTCTATAAAGAAAATCAAAATATATATCTTAGTATCTTTAAAAATTATTTCTAAAGACTTCTAGGTAGTTTCTAACTGCTATTTGAAGATTGAAAAAATACAATCCTAAAACATTCATACCTGATCGAAAGCATTCAATTATTTGTTGAATACCAGATTTGGATGTCTGTAGTGGTTGCTGTAACAAAGGAGGATCTCCAGGTTCCAGGATATAAACTACATGGAAGACAAACACCCACCCCAATCCCACAAAAAAAGGGTTATTTAAATCATTTACTGTAAAGTACAACAATGGTTTACTACAATTATGTTAATGATTACCACAATTGAGTATACATACATACATACATATATATAAAAACGCACCATCTTCTTTGTAAGGCACTAATGGAACATGGAAGAAATTAAAATATTTTTCAAGTAAATGCTAAATTAAGGCTACTTAAGGCCAGATACTAAGGTCAAACAAATGTTTTTCCTGCTTTTTAATTTCCTTTGAAGAGGGACCCCTATATTTAGCCAAAATTCGAAGGCAATCATGGCCTAGCCATACCTCACAAACATCCCAAAATCCTTTGGATAATATGATACATCTCTCTGGCAATTATGAGAGTAAAACCCAAAACCATTGCCTAAGAAAGTAATTAGATAGGCACGTGATGGACAAGAAGATGCACTGCAGCACTCTGTAGCACTGAATATATTTGAGAGGAATTTCAAACAGCCTGAAAGTCTCTCAACAGGGACTAGACCAGGGATAGGAAATATCCAGCCCGCAGGCTATACAAGACCTGCAAAACCATTTGGTCAAACCCTGCCAAGTCACCTAACTGCAGGCAGAATTTGAAACTCAGTGACTCCACAAAGTTAAGTTTATAATTTTATATAGCTCACTAACAATGTTATAAATATCCAAATGAGAGCTGATGCTGTGGTGTGGCGGGTAAAAAGATGCCACCTGCAATGCCGGCATCCCATAAGGGCACTGGTTCGAGTCCTGGCTGCTCCACTTCCGATCCAGCTCTCTACTATGGCCTGGGAAAGCAGTGGAAGATGGCCTAAGTCCTTGGGGCCCTGCACCTGCGTGAGAGACCCAGAGGAAGCTCCAGGCTCCTGGCTTTGGATAGGCACAATTCCAGCCATTGCAGCCAATTGGGGAGTGAACCAGCAGGTGGAAGACCTCTCTCTCTGCCTTTCCTTCTCTAACTCTTTCAAATAAATAAATAAATTTTTAAAACAAACAAATAATAAATAAATATCTAAATGGTCCCTGGCAGAAAAAAAGGTTCCCTATCCCTGGGCTAGACTAAACTATGAAATATCCATTCAACAGAGTATCTCACAGTTGTTAGAAAGCATAAGGTGTAGCATACCAGGTTAAACTACCTGCAATGCCAGCATCCCATGTGGGTGCCAGTTTGAGTCCCGGCTCCTCCACTTCAGATCAAGCTCCCTGCTAATGCACCTGGGAAAGCCGCGGAAGATGGCCTAAGTGCTTGGGACTCTGCTACCTATGTGGGAGACCTGGAAGAAGCTCCTGGCTTCAGCCTGGCCCAGCCCTAGCCATTGTGGCCATTTGGGGAGTGAACCAGTGGATGGAAGACCTCTCTCTCTCTTTCCACCTCTCTTCTTTGAAATAAATAAAATAAATCTTTAAAAACAAAAGAAACAAACAACAAAGCAAGCATAAGGTAGAGCTACATGTACAGTCAATAAAAGATGTCAAAAACTGTTAAGCAACAAAAGCATGTTACAGAATATGATCTCCATTACATTAATATGCACTTGGATAGATTTAAAAATACATAAATTTAAGGCATGCTTATCTGTATATACAGATGCTAATAATATAAACAAAAAAGTCTTGACAGGATACCAACAAAATTTCATGAAAAGCCTGTCAGGGAAGGTTTACAGGGGGTAATATTCACTTTCTGTTTCACACATCACTAGCTACTTCAGAGCCTAGGCTTTCAGAACTGTGCACTTTAGAAATATATTTGATAGTAGAAACAATTTTTCCATTTTGAAAATAAAAATTTTCACTTTCGTATCCTGGGATTGAATTAGCCCTACCTTGCAAAACTAAGAGCATAAATATGTAGTGCTAGATCAAAGTAATATGAAACAAGGTAGCTGAAAAGGAAAACTGACTTTTTCTATCAGTTATCAAATACAGAAGGTTGTGAGAAAAACTGGCACTTTTATTTACCTGTCTTTCACATGCTGTAACGTTCTACAAGTATCAGCATCATAACCCGGGACCACCCACTCAGCGTGGGGAGATAAGGAGGGTTACAACCCAGTGTGTGCTTCCACTGCTTCAGGGCTTAGGCGTGGACAGCAGTTTTCTGATAAAGCTCTAAAGCCTGCTGCACAGCGTATATAGATTCAGTCTTATATTCTCCTTTATGCTGCAAGCCCAGTGCTCAGTGTACACAAAAAGAGGACTATGTCTCTGGACCACATCATTTCATTACACACAGTATTCCATTTTAAGTGACATGATAGGGTTGTTTTAAATGAATCAAGAACATACGTAACTCATTTTAGGAACAACTGACATTTTGTAGTAACTGCAGTGATTAAAAATAAGAATCTGGGGCTGGCACTGTGGCACAGCTGGTTAAAGCCCTGACCTGCAGCCAGTATCCCATATGAGCACTGGCATCCCATATGAGTCACAGCTGCTCCACTTCTGATCCAGCTGCCTGCTGGTGCACCTGGGAAAGCAGCAGAAGATGGCCCAAGTACTTGGACCCCTGCACCCACGTGGGAGAGACCCAGAAGAAGTTCCTTCAGATCAGCTCAGCTCTGGCCATGCAGCCATTTAGGGAGCGGACTAGTAGATGAAGACTCTCTTTGTAACTCTGTCTTTCAAATAAATCCTTAAAAAACCAAAACCAACACAAAAATAAGACTCCATACTGCCTACACTTAAATTTTTTTTCTCACCACTCACTAGATATAAGCAGGACAAATTAAACTCTTCCTCTCTCCCCTCATCTCTAAAATAGGGTTTAACCTAAATCATAGGGTTGTGTCAGGACTAACTGAGCTAATGCAGGTAACCTGCTTAATACAGAGCCTGGGATATAATAAATACTCTATAAAAAAAAACTATCATCATCATCGTCATGTACAAATCAACTGCATCCCTGATAGCAAAAACTGGAAAATTTGATTTTAGAAGTCTCAAGTAGATTTCAACCTATTAAGGAAAAAGCAGGAGTCTGTAAACACATTAAAAATAACTATTTTCGGGCCGGCGCCACGGCTCATTTGGCTAATCCTCCATCTGCGGCACCGGCACCCCAGGTTCTAGTCCCTGTTGGGGTGCTGGATTCTGTCCCAGTTGGCTCCTCTTCCAGTCCAGCTCTCTGCTGTGGCCCGGGAAGGCAGTGGAGGATGGCCCAAGTGCTTGGGCCCTGCACCCGCATGGGAGACCAGGAGGAAGCACCTGGCTCCTGGCTTTGGATCAGTGCAGTGCGCTGGCTATAGCAGCCATTTGGGGGTGAACCAAGGGAAAAGAAAGATCTTTCTCTCTGTCTCTCTCTCTCTCTCTCACTAACTCTGCCTGTCAAACTAATAATAATAATAACAACAGCTATTTTCAGTATTTATACATTATAGTAACCAATAACTTTTCATTACAAAATGATGACAGGGTGAGGATGAGGGTTGGTGTCATACAACAGTGGGTTAAGTCGCTACTGGTGATGCCCAGAAGCCATATCAGGGTGCCTGGTTGGAGTCTCAGCTACTCCGTTTCCAGCTAACACACCTGGAAGAGCAGCTGTTGACGGCTCAAATACTTGGGTTCCTGGCCCCCACAAGGGAAACCTGGATGGAGTTCTGGGCTCCTGACTACAGCCTGGCGGAGACCTAGCTGTTGCAGGTATCTCAGGAGTGAACCAGCATATGGGAAATCAATCTCAGTTTCTCTTTCTCTCTCTCTCTCTCTCTCTCTCTCTTCCTTCTTCCCTCCCTATCTCTCTCCCTCCCCCTCTCCCTTTCCTTCTCCCTCTCCTTTTCCTTCATTACTCTCTACCTTTCAAATAAATAAATAAAACTTTAAAAATAGAGGTGAAAACGCACACAATTGTAAAGAATGAAATGCTTCAAGATCTGGCTCCATAACTGGCATGAATTCTAATCAGAGGATGAAAAACCAGAAATGATAAGGGAGGGATTAATGGGGAGAAACAGCGACTTCTCCTTAGAGCTGTTCCCTCGGTCAGGTATATGCTCCAGAAAACTTCTGCCACGCACCAACTTTCACTTCCACAGGACAACAACTGATTTTAAAGGGAGAGCAAACTTTTCTTACCCATCACATTCAGAACACTGCTACCTCCAGAACACATACACAATCTGAAAGAACATTCTTAGAGAGTACAGGGTTAGCTTATCTTACACATCCAGTTGGTATGCTTTATCTGTGAAGCTCCCATCATAAGAAACAATTCTTTCTTCATTGGAAAGCTTACTCCTAACTTTAGAAACCTTTATACATTAACATATTCTACAAAATTTCCTCTTAAATTTCCTATCATCACTCCCAAGATCAAGCCTACTCAAGTTACATGACCAACTAGAAAAAAGATCATCTCCTTCCAACCAAAAACCCAAGGCTTCAGAACATCTTTCCTTACATCCTTTCAACAGTTCACTTTCCAGAAAACAACATCCACCTTTGTGAGAGCTGCGCTTACCTGGAAATGAGACCCTGAGAAGATCTACTTGCTATAGTAGAGAAGGGAATTGTGGAGGTAAGGGAGAATGTAAATGAAGACACTGCCCTTGTATTGGTTTCTGATAGTTATGTGATGGTTATATCAGGTTCCTTATATCATTCTATTTTTGAAGCTTTGAAAAATCTCTATTGAAATGTTTAAAACATAACAAAGAAAATACTCCATCTGGATCTTCCATATGGGTAGCAGGAGCCTAAGCACTTGGATCATCTTCCACTGCTTTCCCAGGCACATCAGCAGGGAGCTGGATAGGAAGAGGAGCAGCTGGGACTTGAAATGGTGCTCTTATAGGATGCCAGCATTACAGTTGGCAACAAACACACTGTACCATAATGCTTGCCACCAAAGAAAACCCATTATACAAACCACCACGCTTATACCACCATCCTTCACTCCAAACTGACCCATCCCATCAAGGCACACCAGCATCCTCAGGAATGCTCCACTGCCATCTAGGGACTCACCCACTGTCCATCATTCAACTGAAGACAGATCTCTCAGGACAACTCATTGAAGAATTTCTCAAACACCACCTCACACTCCAAAGATGTCCCCTTAAAAACCACCACACTGTATCTCTTTCAGTCCTGGAAACACCCAGGACTCTCAGCATACACCCTTCCCTGAAATAGTGACAATAAACTACCCTATCAGTTCACCAGCTCCTAGCTTTCCACCGAGCTGAATCTTCACAAAATGTTTAATTGGAACCAAGAAAACAAAGACATAAGTTCTCCTTTGGATCTGGTGAATCTGAAAATTAACCCGCACTAGAAAAACTTTCTGGAAAAAGAAAAATGGTAACTTTACATTAAAGGAATTTATCTGGTATCCTTTTAATGGGGGAGAAAAAAAAAGAAAAAAGTAAGATCCAATACACATGAAAAAGTTCAGCTCCAGAAAACACCTTTTTTTAAAAAGAGGTTGAAGTCTAGAAAACTTTTATTATTATTAGAATACACTAAATAAAACATGGCCACAAACTATCTTTGCAGCTTTGTCTTCCTACTCAAGTTTTATGAGGAAAGAACCTTATCTGTCTTACTGGCCTCTTATATTCCATTGCTTTAGACAACGGCTGGCACCCAATATGTATTCAATAGTAGGGCACCCAATATGTATTCAATAGTAATCTGTTTAAGAAATGAAAACACAAATAAACTTCTTCCTAAATAAGACTATTTTCTAATCAATTCAACCTCAGTGACTTCAAAGTGTTTTTAAGGAAAAAAAATGGAATAACAGCAGAACGTAAAATATAAAAGGGCATCCATCCACAACTTCATACTTCAAAACTAGCAAGCCTCATTCAACATTCAGTGAAACTAAGTGATCTATCTTCACTTCAAATATACAAAATACGCAATGTAAACAGCTACTGAAAGTTAGGTCAAGGGCAGATGAATGCAAATTGGATCACATCCTAGGACTGCCTGTTTTATTAGTGCAGGTGAGTTGCTACTAATCTCAGCAAAGCATAATAGAGATAGACTGAGGTATAAATTTTACTCACACATGTACCCAAGTTTTCTGAAAAGGTAAATTCCTCCCTTTCTCTGATACTATTTTCCCATTAATCATAATTCCCATTAAAAGGAACCCTACTGGGATAAAATCCAAGTACATAAGTGTAATGAGAAAACAAAAAATAAGCAAAAACATTAAAAAAAAACAGAGAAAATATTTAGGTGCAAAATAGTGATATGCACCTACTTTTAAAGTAGACTGAGATGGCCTGTGTTTGATTTAGTGACTGCATGTATATAACGAACCCTTTTAAAGTTGTACCTCTGGATGTGTGTCACAAAACACATCAACATTCTAAGTAGAAAAACTGTCAAGAGTCTATCACTAATCAAATTAGAGTCTGCTCATACTTTTCCCTTCCATAAACTCAACTGGGGAAGGAAAAAAAAAAGTGCCATTGAATAAAGACCTTTAAAATGCTTCTGTACTCAATCTAAATAGTGAGGAGTTTTTCCCATTATTTTGCAATACAGTATGTTCTGTCCAGGAATTTGTATTTTTAAAGGTTGCACTTAGCAAAACCTGAGGCCCCGGAAGAGTTCCACGAACGTGTTCACCCAAAAGTCCTGTTTAGACTTTCAGCATCAGAACCTCTCACTTCAGCTGCAAGGGAACAATTTTCACCAAGACGAACGCTGGCGTCCCACTACCAAAGCCTGCCCTCCTCTTGGGTTTTAAATATTCACGGGGCGCAGGAGTATACTGCAGGCCTGAGCGGCTGATCTCGTGGAAATGATTGGGGGTGACACTTGCAGGAGTTCCTTTAAGGGATCAGGCAGGGGAGATCTCGTCCGTACAAGCTTTTAGCTTCATCACTGGTTTTACGCTGGGGAAAATTACAGCCTGCCCTGCTTCAGGAGCGATTCTTGGGCAGGAGGAAAAGGAAACCCTAAGGTGAAAAGGAGAAGGCAGAGCGGCTGCGACCGAGGGCGAGGAGGGGCATACCTGGTTCACAGCATCCGTGGTGATGGTGGTCAGTCTGACAGTATTTGTCCCTTAAAGGCATTTTCAGTGGGTGCGACCTACTTTCCTTTCACTGGGAGAAGCTCTTCATCGCGCCTTGCCTGCGGAAAGCAGCACAAACTCGTCACGCACCCTGAACTTCCCAGGGGGGCTCCGGCTGCACTTCCCACACGCGGTCCCCCAGCACCCGCCTCCCCTTCGCCTTCAGCGTCGCGCGCGTTCCTCCCGAAACGAAAGCAGCAGGGCGCACGATCCCTTCCTCCAGCCCCCGACTCCTCGCACAGGTTCCTCGCCCTACCCGGAAACGCAGCCGCGGGCGCGCAGCGCAGCGCACGGCCAAGGCCTGGCCGGCGGGCGCGGGCGGCGGCGGCGGCGGCGGCGGCCTCGCCGTCCCGGGCGGGCCGGCGCGCGGCGAGGGGCCCTCGGGGCGCGGCGGGCACGGCCGGGCTGCGGGGCTCCGGGCCGGCCAGGGCTCCGCTCCCGCGCGCGGCCGGCCCCCCGGCCGGCCCACCCCGCGTCCTCCCGCCACGCACGTGCGTTGGGGTCTCCTCGGCGGGACCCCGGTCCCCAAAGCCCAAGTGCGCCCAACTTACTTAACTCCTAGGGCGGGCCGGCGGAAGGCAGGCGGGCAGGCCGGACGGCCACCGGGACAGCCTGGCGCGGGAGGCGGCCGCTGGCCCCACCTGGCGCAGCCCCCCTCGGACCGCGCGAAGGGAAGCGGGGTTCGGGCCGACGCGCTCCCAAAGAGTCCCCGCCGGCGCTGAGGCGGAAGCGCCGCAGCTCACCAGCGGCGGCGGCGGCGGCGGCTCACGGCGTCCCTCCGCGCTGTGGGGCGGCCGGGCGGGCGGCGCGCGGGCGCGGGCAGTTGACAGGAGGAACCGCCTGGCAGCCGCAGCGGCGGCCGCCGAAGGAGCCGGAGCCGGAGCGGGCGGGACCCGAGGCGCCCCTCGCCGGGGCAACGGCTGCCGCCGCCGCAGCCCGGCTCCTCCCAGCGCCGCTCCACCTGCAACGGTCCCTCAGGCTTTTGGAGAGGGCGGAGAAGAACGGGGGTCTCCCCCCACCGTGGGCTTTTTGGTAGTAGTTGTTGTTTCAGGAAACTTTTATTAAGTCGGTCTCTCTCTCTCTCTCTCTCTCGTCTCCCCCTCCCCGGAGAGCCTGAGCTGCCGCCGCGGAGCGGGTAGGAAGGGGGAAGCAGAGACTGTACGGCAGCGACAGGGAGCGACTGACTGACCCCGGACGGAGATGGGGCGAGGGCAGGAAGTGACAAGCTCGGCAGTGGGTGGGGGGAGTGTGGCCGGCGCGCCCGGGAGCGCCGCGCGCATGCGCCCGGCCGGGCAGGGGAGGGCGCCGGCCGCTCGGCCGCCCGCGCTCCCGCCCGCCTGCGCGCCCGCCGGCCGGCCGACGCGGACGGTGGCTGTCGCCGCTCGGCCCGGGGTGGAAGTGCGCGGCGGAGACCCGTTAGGAGAAGAGGTCGGGCAGCCGCGGGACGGGAGGCGTGAGTAAGCGGCGATCCGGCAAAAAAAAAAAAAAGGCCTGTGGAAGTGGCAAAGTTGAACTTTTTTTTTTTTTTCTCTTCCCCCCCCTGGCCGACGCGTTTCGAAGTTTGCCTTCCGGAAGTTACGGGGTTCTTTTTTCTCAGGCCCCTGTCCCGGGAGGGAAAGGAAAAACAGCGATGTTGGGGAGCAGGCGGGTGTGTGGCCAGTGACTCGCAGCCGCGCTTTGAGCCTGGGAGCGCCGTGGGGGTCACGTGGGCCGGGCGCGCTTTCCCTCCGGTCCGGCGTCCGCGTCGTGCGTGGAAAATCCCCACGCGTGGCAGTCGCAGCCAGGTGTGCGCCCCCGGGGGCGGCCGCATCAAGCTAGTGGGTGTAGAACTGCGCGCGGGCCCGGAGAGTGTGAAAGGGAAAAAGCCGCACTGCTCGTGTCCACCGGCCGCCTGCGCTGGAGATCCACCTGTTGGCCCTGTGTGTGTGGCAAGAGAAAGTGCCTGAAACCCCATTTTCAAAATGCGGAGGAAAGTGTGTAAGTTAATTTGTCTTTGACCGTTTGCGCACCAGCAGCAGCTTGATTTTGGGCAGAGGCAGCAAAGGGACTGAACGATGATCGATCGACACACACGGATCGACGAGCCAGTCACATAAGTGTTGCATACGGGCATTATCCCTCCATATAAAGCCAGGCTATGAATCAGTGTAAGAATAAATTGTGATACTTTTGTATGGTGGTGGTAAGCAACCAATAAAAATTACATTTGTGTCATATTTACTTGTTTGGAATGTACTTAAACAAAAATGATTTTTGGGGGGAAATGTGACACCTTAGCAATGGGCTCTAATGTTGGAATTAGGATTTTTGCTTTTTGCATTTTAAAAATTTTATAAATTAAGCATATAAAGCTTTAATAAGTTTTTAAAGTCAAGATGACTACAATGTAAAAAAGAATAATAAAGCCAAAAAGTAAGATATTAAGTGAAATAAACATTGTGAATGGGGGCAGCATTGGTGATGTGGGCATCCATATGGGTGCTGGTTTGAGTGCTGGCTGCTCCACTTCTGATCCAGTTCCCTGCTAATGGCCTGGGAAAGCAGTGGAAGATGGCTCAAGTGCTGGGGCCCCCGCTATCCACATGGGAGAGCCAGGAAGAAGCTCCTGGCTTCAGCCTGGCCCAGCCCTGGCCATTGTGACCATTCTGGGGAGTGAAACAGCAGATGGAAGATCAGTGTCACTCTTTCAAATAAATATTTTTTAAAAATTCATGAATGCTATTCCAAAAATGCAGTGAAGAAGGACTGGAAGGAAAAGTAAAGATATCAACAATGGAGATTGATAAAGTAGATCTTTTCCTGCTTCTGTATGAAAGTATATTTATTGCATATTTGGAATACCCAAATCCAAATTTCCATAAAACTGAAAAGGCTTTGCTTCAGATATGAGAGTTGCTAACCAAATGTGAGTAAAAAAATTTTAAGTGTTTTATGAGTAAATGCAGTGCTATTTATACCCAGGTCAAAGTGGTCATTACTAAAGGGTCCTCAGAATTGCTTGCCAACAGTGTTAGACAGTCTTATAAAATTAGAGACAAGATGGAAATATCTGTGTAGGTGAAGCAAGTATTAAACACTAAATCATAGAATTTTAAAGATAGATATAAACCATGGAAGTTATCTAATAAACCTAATTTTATAGATAGGAAAACTAGAGAGATTAATGTGCCACAGGTCAATCAGCAATAAAACTGGGTACAGGACCTAGATTACTCCCTACAATAGCAATAGCTGATATATATATTGTATGAGTAATATGTTTTAAGCTCAAGTATTAACTCATTTAATCTTATCACCAACCCAGTGAAGTTTTGCTACCCTTCTGTTCTACAGGTAGAGAAACTGAGACAAAGTGGATAAATTGGATAGATAAGTTATTGGCTGATAGGCAGCTGAGCCAGCATATGAACCCAACCAGTTTGGCTTTGAAACTCATACTTAGCCATTATGCTGTGTTGCCTCACTAGACCATAGCTATTTGAGCTGACACTGTGTTATTTGAATAGTAAGCCAGTAGACCCTAGCAGTTGTGAAAAATACTGCATATTTAAATGTTGTGTACAAGTTGATGAAGTGGAAATGGAGTTGCCAGATTATAGGGACTAATTGAAATTTCACAAAGCTATAGAGTTTAAGAGACTTTGGACATAATCTAGAATTATCATCCTTTGAAAATGCACACAGACTATGATCTGCCTTCCATTTAATTGTTCAGTGTCATATTTAGCAATATTTTTGATCCTTAAAAGCCCAGAAGTACATCCTATAGTTAAAATTATTTTGAGGTGTCACTTGAGGTGACAACACTGAAACACACACATACATGAAAGACCTTCAGAAAGATAACAAAATACATGTTAAGAAAATGCAATGCATGGGTTCCCCCCCAAAACAATAAACTAACATAACAGGATCTAGTTTGAAGCACAAAAAGGACCTCAATTTGAAGAGAGTCCCTATCAGAGCAACATGGATTCTGCTAAAATTGAAGCAAGAACAAATGCTAAATTTATAGTGGTGAAGTTGGGATGGACAAATGGTAAAACTACCAGAAGTTTGGAGAAAAATCTGAAGTTTCAAATAGATAACTTGTTTCAAGAAAGGACACAGCTGTTGTAGATGAAGCCTGCAGCAGCAGACCCTGCACATCAATATCTGAGGAAATGAATCTGGTTTGTGTTGAAGAGGACAAAAGAAACAAAAGCCAACACCACAGGCTGAAATAATGGAGCAAACTTTCTACTCCATAGGTGCGGAAACTGCTGTGCCCAGATTGGCTGCAGACAAGAACAGAGCTTTCAATGGAAATGTTCAACAACTGAGACCAAAACCCTGAAGCATTTCTTCAAAGAATTGGAACAGAAACTAAAACGGCTTTACCAACATGATCCTGAAGACCAAGCACAGTCAAAACAAAGGCTCGCAAGAAGTGGAAGTAGTCCAGTCAAAACAAAAGTGAACCAGTGGAGAGCCAAGGTGGTGGCAGTAGTTTTTTGGGGGAATGCCCAAGGCGTTTTGCTTGTTGACTTTCTAAAGCACCAAAGAATGATAACCACTGCTTCTTGGGATGTTGCTGTGAGAAAGCCAAAGCTTTGGCAGAAAAACACCAAGACAGCTCCACCAGAGAGTTCTTCATCACCACAACAATGCTCATTCCTGTCACCAAACAAGAGCCATTTTGCAAAAGTTTTGATGGGATATCATTAAGCATCCACTTTACAATCCTTATTCAGCTCCTTTTTGTTTCCTAATCTTTGTAAGACATTTTTCTTTAACAATGTTAAAAAGACTGTTTTGACAGGATTAAAATTCCCAGCACCCTTAGTGATGGGCCAAATGGCTGGTTTTATTTATTTATTTATTTTGACAGGCAGAGTGGACAGAGAGAGAGAGAGACAGAGAGAAAGGTCTTCCTTTGCCGTTGGTTCACCCTCCAATGGCCGCCACAGCTGGCGCGCTGTGGCCAATGCACCGCGCTGATCCGAAGCCAGGAGCCAGGTGCTTCTCCTGGTCTCCCATGCGGTACAAGGCCCAAGCACTTGGGCCATCCTCCACTGCCTTCCCGGGCCACAGCAGAGAGCTGACCTGGAAGAGGGGCAACCAGGACAGAATCCAGTGCCCCGACCGGGACTGGAACCCGGTGTGCCAGCACCGCTAGGTGGAGGATTAGCCTATTGAGCCGCGGCACCGGCCTAGTATCATTTATTATTAAAAAAAAAAAATCTGGAACTTGCTGGAGCTAATGTTGAAAAATAAGGTTTATATTTTTTCTTTTCATTCCATATTTCCATGAACTTCTCAAAGTCCCATTATACAGAGAGTCATATTGTTAAGGCATAACAGACTGCTCCAAAGTTAGTGGCTTAACGGCAGTTCTGTGATCTCAGTTCTGTAGATCAGTGATTTGGGCAGGCTTTGTCTCGAATAACTCAGAGGTGAATGCACTCTGATTGCAGGTGTTGACTGTTGGCTGGAACTGCCTTCATCCTCAGACTAGCCTGAGCTTCCTCATATAGTAGCAGCATGCCCCACCAATAGAGAGTAGAAGCTGCAAGACCTCCTGAGGCTCTAGGCTTGGAAGTTATATGACATTACTTCCACCACATTCAAAGCTAGCCAAAGACTGGGCGGATTCAGAAATTGAAGAAATAGACTCACCTCTTGATATGGGAAGCAGCAAGGTCACATTGCAAAGGAATATGTATACACTAATGGGAAGAAATACTGAATGATCTCTGATATCTATTACAATATTGGGACAAGTGTTGTGGTGCAGCAGCTTAAGCCATTGCCTGCAGTGCCAGCATCCCATAGTCCCAGCTACTGTACTTCCAACCCAGCTTCCTGATAATGTGCCTGCGAAGACAATGGAAGATGGCCCAAGTTCTTGGGCCCCTGCCACCCATGAGGGAATCCCAAATGGAGTTGAAGCTCCTGGCTGCAGCCTTCCCCAGCCCTAGCTGCTGCTGTAGCCATTTGGGGAGTGAACCAATGGATGAAAAAGATCTCTCTCTCTCTCTCTTTTTAAGGCATACTACAATATATAATTATTTCAAGAATGATACCAGCAAATAAAAGCAGTTGACTTTTTTTAAATGCTTAGTAATTCCTTTAAGACTAGCCAAACAAGGAAACATTAGTCAAACCTATTCTTTAAACTGACTTGGTCAATTTTGTGACCTTCTATAGCCAAACTTTGATGATGCATTAGCTTTTCTCAGTGGACTTGTTTTTCTTATCATTGGCTTTTTAAAAAATCCATTCTGTTCTAAAACAGCATAAAAATCTTAACATCAAGTAGAAGCAATTGCAGTTCCTTACAAGACCTATATACTCTTCCATATTTTATTAGCTGTGATTATGATATGGCATTTTATAACACATAATTAAACCCACTATTGTGTAAAATATAGGCCAAAGTAGGTCAAGAGGTTAGAAAGGGTCATGGACAAATTAATTTAGAAGAACAAATATTAAACTTGTTCATTATCAATATAAAGAACTTAACACATTAAGTATTATACAAACAAGATGAAAAGAAAAGACTTTCCCTAAGATGGTTGTTTTAAGGAGGGTAGGAAGTAGAATATTAACCAGTTAGATGCCCTTGACGTAAACTCCCTGCTGGGATTCCCTTGCATGGCCTGAAACCTTCCATTGCTATTGCTAAAGGCACACTTAGATCTTGCTGGCCAGATGACACAATGATATACCATACCGCTTTATGGACACCAAGCCATATCTTACCAGTCTCATTCAAATGCATGCCATGTGCCATTTAACTGAATTCTATGAAAAAAAAAATGCTGCTTGGTGGAGCTTTTCCATAAGTCTCTAATATAATGTACTACATTTGGACAACATGCTAAGTACTGTATATTTTTTCATTGAATCCTTACCAAGAACTGGGTTAGATAGCCCATTATACAATTAAGCAAACAGGCAATTAGTGTCTAAGGTAGGATTTAACCCTAGATCTGAGTCTAGAGCCTGTGCTTCAAGTGATACATGAGGACACTGCAAAATGTAGAAAATGAAATAAAAACATGTTTATTTCAGTGCAAAAAAATTTTGAAATGTGTGCATAATTGTTTCTGTAATACACACTATCCACAAACTTTTTGAAGATCTCCTATTCTGATTGCCTAAAATTTTTTTCTCAATCTCAGACCTGTCCTTGGAAAGATCTGCTAAGTTACATTGCTAAGTGCTCTTGAGAGGGACCATCTGAGTTTTCCTAGTCATTGCAAATTAGCAAAGCCAGGGCCAGTGCTGTGGCATAGCCAGGTAAGGCTGTCAACCTGCAATGCTGTCATCCCATATGGGTGCTGGTTTGAGTCCCAGCTACTCCACTTCCAATCCAACTCCCTAATAATGTACTTGCGAAAGCAGCAGAAGACAGCTCAAGTACTTGGGCCCCAGTACCCCTGTGGAGACCAGGAAGAAGCTTCTGGCTCCTGGCTTCAGCCTGGCCTAGCCCCAGCCATTGCAGCCATTTTTGGGGACTGAACCAGCAGATGGAAGATCTTTCTGTCTCTCCCTCTCTCTTCCCCTTATCTGTAACCCTGACTTCCAAATCTTTAAAAACAAAAAAAATTAGCATAGCCAAAACTGAGTTCTTCTCTTCCTTTTCCAAATTTTAATAACAGTGCTGCTGTCCATTCAGGTGCTTAAGGTAGAAGTCTTGGAGTCAGAGGAACAAATGCAAAGTAATGAAAATTACTTAATTACACAGTTTCTCTTCTCACTTATCCCCAACACCTAACGTAGAACCACATGCTATTGGCTATATCTCAGAAAGGTCTTCAAAAAACAGTTTCCTCTCTGCATATGAACTGTCAGTCTTCTATTCCAAAACCTTATTGCTAAACCATTGAAATGGTCTCCCTATCACCCTGTTTTCTCTAACACAAATCTCTTCCCCTATTCCAGTTTTCTACACTATGAACAGAATTGTGTAGTCCAAACAAATTTGTTACTCATTAAATCAGATTCCTTATGACTGCCAGTTGCATACATGAATAAGCCAAATTTAAACAAGGATTAATAAAAATGTGTTTGAAAGTCAGAAAAATCTGGAACTTCTAGCTCTATTATTCATGAATTTTGTGACTCTAAGCAATTGAACTTCAATTTCCTCAGCTGTACGTTACTTTCAGAGTTGTAAGATATCAATGAAGAAAGCACCCAGCAGGACCTAGAACACAGTACACAACAAATACTAGTATACCTGGTCCTCCCACATCTTCATATACTTCGTGCTTCAAATACACTAGATTTCTTATCCTTGCCAGAAATCAGCAAATCAAAAAATAGTTAACCTAGGTGGGAGGGAGAGTAGGACACAAGGGAAATGTAAGGGGTCATAACAGAGATGTTGGTTACTTGGGTGTATTAGTTTGTTGGAGTTGTACCACCAGGGCAGGAGGTTAAGCTGCAGTTTGCATTGCCGGCATCTCTTATTGGAGTGCCGGCTGGAGTCCCTGGCTGCTCTACTGCCAGCTAATGTGCCTGGGTAGACAGAAGATAGCCCAAGTACTTGAGTCACTGCCACTCATGTGGGATACCCAGTTGGAGTTCCTGGATCCTGGCTCCTGGCTCCTGACTCCTGGCTTTGGCCTGGTTCAGACCTAGCTGTTGTAGCTATTTGGGAAATGAATTAGCAGATGGAAGAGGTTCTCTCTCTCACACTTTCTCTGTTGCTTTGCTTTTCAAATAAATATTTAAAATTGTACCAACTCTTTTTTTCAATGTGCACAAATTTAACTTTTAAAAATTTTAAAAGTTGGAGAAGTAATAGAGTGAGGGTAGATGTGGATAGCAACACAGATGATGCATGGCTGGATGTTGATAACAGGTGCAGCTCAGTGATAAGTACAGGGGTCATTTACTGTTCTATTTTGTATCTTTAAAATTTTCTGTAAGTTAAAAATATGAAAATATGTTCAAATTTATTAATAAAATGCTAAATAAATCTTAATGAGCTACCAGGGCACATCCAACAGAATGGCTGAAATTGAAGACAGCTGTAAATGCTGATCTGGAATTCCTGTTGAGGGGCTGTGGAGCGACAGGAACGCCCATTAACTGTAGTTGACAGTATTCATTGGGACAGTAATTCTGGAGAAAAAAAATTGTTTCATGTTATCTACTAAATTTGAAGTGGTCCATATCTATGACCCAGTAAATTTTACTTCTAAGGTGTTTCACACTAGAAAACCATGCACCAAAAGACAGGTACAAGAATTTCATAACATTTTTTGTGATTTATAAAAACTAAAAGCAATTCAAATGTCCATTAACAATGAATAAAAATGTTACAGTAAATTCATGCAATAGAATATTATAAATGAAGGATTCTAAGTACATACAATAACATACACTGCAGAAAAACAACATGGATTAAAAGAAGAAACAAAATGTATATAGGGGCCTGCCTTGTGGCTTAGCAGGTAAAGCCGCCACCTGCAGCGCAAGCATCCCATATGGATTCTGGTTCAAGTCCCAGCTGCTCCACTTCCAATCCCCTCTCTGCTACGGCCTAGGAAAGCAGAGGAAGATGGCTCTAGTCCTTGGGCCCCTGTTCCTGCATGGGAGACTCAGAGGAAGCTCCTGGCTCCTGGCTTCAGATTGGTGCAGCTCCAGCTGTTGTGGCCACTGGGGAGTGAATCAGCGGATGGGGGACTCTCTCTCTCTGCCTCTGCCTCTCTGTAACTCTGCCTTTCAAATAAATAAATCTTTTTTTAAATTTACTTATTTGACAGATAGAGTTAGACAGTGAGGGAGAGAGACAGAGAGAAAGGTCTTCCTTCTGTTGGTTCACCCCCCAAATGGCCGCTACAGCTGGAGCTACACCGATCCGAAGCCAGGAGCCAGGTGCTCCCTCCTGGTCTCCCATGCAGGTGCAGGGACCCAAGCACTTGGGCCATCCTCCACTGCCTTCCCCGGGCCACAGCAGAGAGATGGACTGGAAGAGGAGCAACCGGGACTAGAACCCGGTACCCATATGAGATGCCGGTGCCACAGGAGGAGGATTAACCAAGTGAGCCATGGCACCGGCCCCAAATAAATCTTAAAAATTCTGGCCGGCGCCACGGCTCAATGGGCTAATCCTCCACCTTGTGGCGCCGGCACACCGGGTTCTAGTCCCAGTCGGGGTGCTGGATTCTGTCCCGGTTGCCCCTCTTCCAGGCCAGCTCTCTGCTGTGGCCCGGGAGTGCAGTGGAGGATGGCCCAAGTGCTTGGGCCCTGCACTCCATGGGAGACCAGGAGAAGCACCTGGCTCCTGCCTTCGGATCAGCGCGGTGCGTTGGCCGCAGCACACCAGCCGCGGCAGCCATTAGAGGGTGAACCAACGGCAAAAGGAAGACCTTTCTCTCTGTCTCTCTCTCTCTCTCACTGGCCACTCTGCCTGTCAAAAAAAAAAAATTTATACATATATATATGGAATAGATGGCTTCACAAAAACCTTTGGGGAGAAGGGAAGTAGTAGAAATTCATGGGGAATGAACATAGGGAAGGCTTCTGGGCACTTGGTGACACTCTGCTTTGGGTGATTGAAGGGGCATTGTGGCACAGAGGATTATACCTGAGTCCCTATCAGAGTCCCTTGTTTGAGTCCCAGCTACTCCATGCTTCCTATCTAACTTCCTGATGATGTAGGAAGTTAAATGGAAGGAAGCATATGACGGCCCAAAAACTTGAGTTCTTACCACACACATGGGAAATCTGGTTGGAGTTCCTGGCTCCTGGCTTGGACCTGGCCGTCTCCTGGCTGTTGTGGGTATTTGGAGAGTAAACTTATGGATGGAAGATTTCTCTCTCTCTCCCTCTCTCTGCTAGTCTTTCACATAAATAACTCTTGTTAGGTACCTGTTTCTGTTATGATAAATCATTGAATTTTCACTTTTTTTTTTTTTGACAGGTAGAGTTATAGACAGAGAGATAGAAAGGTCTTCCTTCCATTGGTTCACTCCCCAAATGGCCACCATGGCCAGCGCTGCGCTGATCCAAAGCCAGGAGCCAGGTGCTTCCTCCTGGACTCCCATGCGGGTGCAGGCGCCCAAGCACTTGGGCCATCCTCCACTGCACTCCCCGGGCCACAGCAGAGAGCTGGACTGGAAGAGGAGCAACAGAAACTAGAACCCGGCACCCATATGGGATGCCAGGGCCGCAGGTAGAGGATTAACCAAGTGAGCCATGGTGCTGGCCCCAAATTGTCACTTTTGATTTTGCATTTCGTATATGTTTTATTGCTGTCGGATTTCTTACTATGTGGTATTTAGAAATGAATTTCTAAATAGTGAAGAAATGGACAAATCAGAATAGTGGTTAATACTATATGTGGAGTGAAATATCACTGGAAAGTAAACTGTGATAAGGTAAAATGTATACCGTATAAATCCTAAAGCAACTTTTAAAATAATTGAGTAGTGGTTACCTTTATGTGAAGAGGATTGGACACTGATACTGGATAGGGGTTGTTGATTTTGGAGTTACTGGCCATTTTGTAGATTTTTTACCTTAATGATGGCTGCATGTATGTCTGCTTTAAAATAATTAATTAATGGCTATGTTTTATGCACTTTACGAATGTATATGATATTTCACCATAAAAAAGTAAAAGCAGAGCTAACCTAGATTTAAATGCCCCTGAATTACATCTGGCATAAAATTAGAAATGAACTTTCCAAGGCTTTGATCCTTTGTTCATGCCACTCCTTAGGCCTGAACATATCCTTCCCCTCTGCCCGGAAAACCCTTTATTCCATCCTTCAGACTGTGTTGCCAGTGCATCTCCGTGGAACCTGCTCCACAGGCATTAGTTGCTCCATCCTCTGCTCCTGCAGTATATCTCTGATCAGTTGTCTGACTCCCATTAGTGTGAGTTCCCCAGGAACTTAGTTGACAAATTGTTCCTCTTTGCCATGACATTATCTAGCACGCTTCCTAGCACATAATAGGAAATCATTACCAGGTATTGGATGGGCTTGAGTGAGTGACTTTCCATTTTTATTGAGCTACAGGAGAAATATTGACAATATTCATGCTTTACAACAAGCCTAAGAAGGAAAAGTTTAGTGGTGAAAAATCAATTTTGGCTGTTTGGTTTAGTTAGGTTCTTAACCTAATAAAAAATTCATTTTTATTATGGAGAACTATACAAGGACAATTAAAGGAACCACTATTTTATAGCATTAGAAATGCTATGGAATATATGCCATATCTGGATACTTAAAACTAATGATCATCAATAAAGAATGTGATTTTTTTTACAGGATGGTTTTTATTTTGTTGGTTGATTGGCTTTTGTAACTTTTAATTTTGCTTTTTTAAGCATTTTTTATTTGAATTTTAATTAGCTTTTGAAAGATATAGTATGATTTGTAGATACAATTCCAAGCACATAATTATATCTCCTTTCCTCCCTCCCACCTCTTTTATTCTCCCTTGTTTTTTTTTCTAGTTTTGTATTTTAAAAATTACATTACAGCAGCTGGCATTGTGACATAGCAGGTAAAGCTGCCACCTGCAATGCTAGCATCCCATATGGATGCTGGTTTTAAGTCCTAGCTGCTCCATCTCCTATCTAGCTCCCTGTTGATGGCCTGGAAAAAGCAGTGCAAGATGGCTCAAGTGCTTAGGCCCCTACACCCAAGTAGGAGACCCAAAAGAAGCTCCTGGCTCCTGGCTTCAGCCAGGACCAGCCCTGGCCTTTTCAGCCATTTGGGGGAGTGATGGAAGATATCGCTCTCTGTTTCTGTACGTCTGCCTGTCTCTCTCTCTCTCTCTCTCTCTCTATCTCTCTCTCTCTGTAACTCTCAAATAAATAAATCTTTTAAAAAAAAATAAAGAAAATGGCACTACAGTAAAAGGCTTAATACTTACTGAATAATAAATTTAAGAAGAACCAAAAAGACCCTAGTTTAGTGTCAATATAGACAATGACTATAAACGATAAATAGAAAAATAACCATTTCACCCACATACAGTAAATTTTAAAGTAATCAGACTATTAAAACTATAGTATAACTTTCTTAATCATTGGTTTCACAAGAGTATAAAACAAATCTTTACAAATTTGCAGCAATACTGATATAGGCCTTTCTTTTTTCTTTCTTCCTTGTTTGTTTTTTAAATTTTAGCTACCTCATATAAGGGAGAATATTTGGTATTTGTCTTTCTGGGTCTGGCTTACTTCACTCGACATGATATCCTCCAGTTGTGTCCATTTTGCAAATGGTAGAATTTCATTCCCTTTATAGCTGAATAATATTCCATTGTGTATATATACCACATTTTCTTTATCCATTCATCTGATGATGGACACCTTGGTTGATTCTAAATTTTGGCTATTGTGAGCAGTGATGCTATAAACATGGGTGCAGGTATCTCTCTCTGCTTTTTTTTTTTTTTTTTTTTTTGCAGGTGTCTCTGATAGATTGTGCTCAAGTCTTTTGGGTATATATATATACCTTTTAGTGGGAATGCTGGATCACATGGCAAGTCTATTTCTAGGTTGTTTCTGTTTTTGAAGAGTTATTTATTTATTCGAAAGGCAGAGTTACAGAGAGGCAGAGGCAGAGCTAGAGAGAGAGGTTTTCAGTCCACTGGTTCACTCCCCAAATGACCGCAATAACTGTAGCTGAGCCAATCATAAGCCAGGAGCCAGGAGCTTCTCCCAGGTCTCCTACACATCTGCAGGAGCACAAGGACTTGGGCCATCTTCTGCTGTCCCAGGCCATAGCAGAGAGCTGGATCAGAAGTGGAGCAGCTGGGACTTGAACCAGTGCCCATAGGGGGTGCCAGCACTGCAGGCAGCAGCTTACCTGCTATGCCACAGCTCCGGCCCCCATTTCTAATTTTTGAAGAAATCTCCACACTGTTTTCCACAGTGGCTTAACTAACTTACATTCCCACCAATAATGTAAAAGTGTTCCTCTTTGTCTACATCCTCGCCAATATTTGTTACTCTGTTTTGGATTTTAGCCATTCTGACAAGGGTGAGGTGATATATCATTATGGTTTTGATTTGTGTTTCCCTGACGAGTGATGTTGAGCATTTTTCATATATTTCATGGCCATTTGTATTTCTTCTTTTGAGAACTATCTATTGAAGCCTTTTGCCCATTTCTCAACTGGATTGGGTTTTTTATTGTTGGGTTTTTTAAGTTGCTGATATATTCAGGATATTAATCCTTTGTTGGATAGGTGGTTTGCAAATATCTTTTCCATTCTCTCTTCTGAGTTTGATATAGTCTCATTTGTTTAGTTTTGATTTTGTTGCTTATGCTTTCGGAGTCTTATCCAAGAAGTTTATCTTCTACACCAATTTCTTGGTGTGTTTCCCCTACTTTTCTTCCAGCAACTTCATAGTGTCAGGTCTTAAATTTAAGCCTTTGATTCATCTTGAGTTTATTTTTGTATATGGTGAGAGATATGGATCTAATTTAATTCTTTACATATATAATCCAATTTTGCCAACATCATTTGTTGAAGAGAGTAACCTTACTCCACTGTATGGTCTGAACACTTTTGCCAAAAATTAGTTGGATGTATGTATGTGAATTAATTTCTGAGCTCTCTATTCTATTCCATTGGTCTATGTATCAGTTTTTATGCCAGTACCATGCTGATTTGATTACTGTAGCCTTGTAGTATGCTTTGAAATCATATATTGTGATATCTCCAGCTTGTTTTTTTTTTTTTTTTTTTGTTTTTTTTTTTTTTTTTTTTCAGGATCACTTTGGCTATTCGGGGTCTTTTGTGATTCCACATGAATTTTTGGATTTTTTTTCTAACCCTGTAAAGAATGCATTGGTATTTTGATGGGGATTGCATTGAATCTGTAAATTCCTTAAGTAGCATGGATATTTTAATAAAGCGATTCTTCTTATCAATGAGCAAAGATATATTTCCATTTTTTCTGTGTGTCATTGATAATTTCCATAATCAGTTTTTGATAATTTTCATTGTAAAGATCTTTCACTTCTTTGGTCAAATTGTTCCTAAATATTTGATATTTTTTGTGGCTATTGTGAATGGCATTTTGTTCTTGATTTCTCTTTCTCTGAGTTTACCATCAGCCTACAAACAAGCTACTGTTTTTTATATGTTTATTTTGTAACCTGCAGTTTTACTGAATTGGTTTATCAAGTCTAACAGCTTTTTGGTGGAGTGTTTAGGTTTTCCATATGCAATATCATATCATCTGCAAACATGGATAATTTTACTTCCTCTTTTCCAGTTTTGATGTCCTTTAGTTCTTTCTCCTAATTGTGATCACTAAAACTTCCAGTAATATATTTGATAAGAATGGTGAAAGTGGACATCCTTGTCTTGTTCTAGATCTGAAGGGAAATGCTTTCAGCTTTATCCCACTTAGTATGATATTGGCCATTGGTCTGTGATAAGTAGCCTTTGTAATTTTGAGGAATATTCCTTCTGCACCTACTTTATGGAGGATTTTTATCTTGAACGGCAGTTGAATCTCATCAAGTGCTTCTCCTGCATCCACTGAGATGATCATATTGTTTTTGTTCTTAATTCTTTTGATGTGATTTATGACATTTATTAGTTTGCAAATGTTGAACCACCCTTGCATTTCTGCAATCAATACACCTTGATCATGATGTATGGACTTTTTGATGTGATATTGGATTCATTTTGCTAGTATCTTGAGAATCTCTGTATATATGTTCATTAAGGATGTAAGTCTGTAGTTTTTTGTGTGTGTGTTGTGCCTCTGTTTGATTTTGGTATCAAAGTAATACTGGCCTCATAAAAAGAGTTTGACAGAGTTCCATCCTATTCAATGTTTTGGAATAACTTGAAGACTATTGGAGTTCTTTCCTCTTTGAATGTTTTGTAAAATTTAGTAGTAAAGCCATCAGGTCACGGACTTTTCCTTGATAGAAGACTTTTTTTTTTTTTTTTTGACAGGCAGAGTGGCCAGTGAGAGAGAGAGAGAGACAGAGAGAAAGGTTTTCCTTTGCCATTGGTTCACCCTCCAATGGCCACCGCGGCCGGCACGCTGCGGCCGGCACACCGTGCTGATCCAATGGCAGGAGCCAGGTACTTCTCCTGGTCTCCCATGGGGTGCAGGGCCCAAGCACTTGGGCCATCCTCCACTGCACTCCCGGGCCACAGCAGAGAGCTGGCCTGGAAGAGGGGCAACTGGGACAGAATCCGGTGCCCCGACCGGGACTAGAACCCGGTGTGCCGGCGCCGCAAGGCGGAGGATTAGCCTAGTGAGCCGCGGTGCCGGCCTAGAAGACTTTTGATTAACTACTTCAATCTCATTGCTTCTTATGGGTCTGTTTCAGTTGTCTATATCTTCTTGATTTAATCTTGGTAAGTTATATGAATCCAGCAAATTATCAACTTCTTTGAGGTTTTCCAGTTTATTAGTTTATAGATTTTATATAGTTCTTCATAGTAGTTTTTTTTTTTTTAAGATTTGTTTATTTATTTATTTGAAAGAGTTACAGAGAGGCAGAGGCAGAGGCAAAGAGAGGGATAGGTCTTCCATCCACTGGTTCACTCCCCAATTGGCCACAATGGCCAGAGCTGTGCCAATCCGAAGCCAGGAGCCAGGAGCTTCTTCAAGTTCTCCCACATGGGTACAGGTCCCAAGGACTTGAGCCATCCTCTACTGCTTTCCCAGGCCATAGCAGAGAGCTGGATTGGAAGTGGAGCAGCTGGGACTTGAACTGGAACCCATATGGGATGCCAGCACTGCAGACTGGGGCTTTAACCCACTGTACCACAGCGTCAGCCACATAGTAGTTTCTTATGATCCTCTGTATTTCAGTGGTAGCAGTTGTAACATCTCCATTTTCATCTGTCATTTTAATTTATTTGAACTTTTTCTTTTTTTTAATAGTCTGGCCAGAGGTTATCTATTTTGTTTATCCTTTCAAAAAACCAACTTTTTGTTTTGTTGATCTCTTGATCGTAGCTCTGGGGCTCGTATCCAGAAACTCCCACAGTTGCAGGATACTGGGGATCTGTCCTTCGCCGCACACATTGGCCCTGACCGTGTCTGGTGCTGGTAGGAAAACAGGCGCACTGGGTGAATTTTCACTGCCTCGTCTGGCACTCTGGGAGAAGAAGGAAACAGGTGCTTCCCTGCTGCAAGCCCAGCAGTCACTCAGACCCCAGTCAGCTCTCCAGGCTGAAGTGAAATCAGTAGGTGACTGTGGAGTTCCTTCTCAGCTAAAACCAGGAGTGGTGGGGTGGGCGGCAGTTTCTTCCTACCTTGGCGTGGTAAGATAGTGGCTCACAGCTGGCAGCTGGCTGCACCACACAGTTGCTGCAGCAGTGTGTCTGCTTTCCTCTTGGCCCACAGAGTCTTTGGTTTGGGTTTGTTTTTATTTTTTATTTTTTCACTTCTTTACTGAAAATTTCCATCAGTTAGACCCATGGAAACATAGTCCTTTATCCTTTCCATATCCCAAAGCAGCTTCATTTAATGCCCTTTAATGCCTTTATTTAATGCCCTATTCAGCCATTTTGGATCTCTGTAACTTTTAATTTTCAAATAGTTTCAAATTTATGGAGAAATTGCAAGAATGTTAGAAATAATCCCCATGCTCTTCTTACCCAGATTCATCTATTTTTAACATCTTGTCACACTCACTTTATTCTCCCCATAACATATATAATATGACTTTTTGGAACCATCTGAGAGCAGGTTGCATGCATGGTGCTCCTTTTTACCTTATAACTTTAGTGTGTATTATCTGAAATTGGGTATACTATTCTCTTAAATAACCAGAAGTTCAGGAAACTTAAACATTGATACAATACTGTCTTTTAATCTGATTTTTATTTTTGTCAGTTATCTTAATAATGTCTTTATTGCATGATTTGCTCCATGTTAATTTAATGTTGCATTAAATTGTCATTGCTCTCCTTTTACCTGGAATACTTCCTCAGCCTTTCCTTGTCTTTAATGACAATAACATTTTGAAGAATACAGGTCAGTTATTTTACAAAATTAGGCTATTAAGATTTGTCTGATGTTTCTTCATGATTAGATTGAGATTATATTTTTTTAATGGAATACAATATAAGTGATATGGTCTCTTCCTCATGGTATCACATCCAGAGGCAATGGTATGTCTATTTGATAGTGATCCTGATCAGTTTCTCAACTGTTGAGTTACCATTTTTCTTTTGTTATTAGTAAGTAATTTGTGGAGAAGTAAAAATGGTTTTATTACATAATCTTTTAAATAATGGTCATAATAATCCTACTTAGGTTTTATAAAGTATCAGTGTAAATGCAAAAGTAAAAGGTTAAAAGTTCTTTCAACCTGTTGCTTGCTCTTGGGGATACCACCATTCACCCACTCTTCTAATTATCCAGGAAACACATGCTCCACGATTAGGCCGAAACATCTGTTCCCAGACTCAAGTGCAACTCCTATTACTTGAGTCAGGCTGTTTTCCCCTCCTGGAGCTAAAGAAGACCCTCAAGTATGGACAGATGGGACAACTGTGGGACAAGCAAAAACAGTAACTCACATAAAAGTCAGCCTTAAGTATCCTGTCTATTTTCCCCATCAAAAACAATATCCTCTTGGGGCAGTGCTATGGCACAGTGGCTAAAGCTGCCCCCTGCAGTGCCGGCATCCCATACGGGCACCAGTCCAAGTCCCAGCTGCTCTACTTCCAATCCAGCTCTCTGCTATGGCCTGGGAAAGCAATGGAAGATGGCCCAAGTCCTTGGGCCCCTGCACCTGTGTGGGAGCCCCAGAAGAAGCTCCTGGCTCCTGGCTTCGGATTGGCCCAGCTCCGGCCACTGCAGCCATTTGGGGAGTGAACCAGTGGATGGAAGACCTTTCTTCTGCAACTCTGCCTTTCAAATAAATTAATTAATTTTAAAAAATCCTCTCATTCTGGAGGTAAAGAAGGTTAGACCCTATCATTAAGAGCCTCCTCAAACAAGGAGTACTTAAAGAATGTGTCAACCCCTACAATTCACCCATCATGGGCATTAAAAAGGGACCAGATAAATGGAGAATTGTTCAAGAGCTGAGACTCATTAATGAGGTAGTGGTCCCACTCCATCCAGTAGTCCCCAGTCCTTTTACACCATGACCCAGATATGCAAAGCTGCCAGTTTCTTTTCCATACTAGACCTTAACAGTGCCTTTTTCTGCATACCTCTAGACCCAGAAAGCCCAATCCTTTTTGCTTTTGAAAATCACTTGATGGGTTAGACAGCTCGCCTGGACGATGCTGCCAAATAAAGATTTATAGGGGGCAGGCGCTGTGGTGTAATGAGTAAAGCCACCGACTGTACAGCATCCCATATGGGTGCTGGTTCAAGTCTCGGCTGCTCCACTTCCGATCCAGCTCTCTGCTGTGGCCTGGGAAAGCAGTAGAGGATGGCCCAAGTCCTCGAGCCCCTGCACCCACATGGGAGACCCAGAAGAAGCTCCTAGCTATGGATCAGTGCAACTCTGGTCATTGCGGCCATCTTAGGAGTGAACCAGTGGATGGAAGACCCCCCCCCTCTCTCTCTTCCTCTCTCTCTCTGCCTCTCCTTCTCTCTGTGTAGATCTGACTTTCAAATAAATAAATAAATCTTTAAAAAAAGATTTATAGACAGCACCCACCTATTTAGATGTGTCCCCTGAAGAGGAACTAAAGGAACAATCTCTTGAGGGGTGGTGGAGAGATGATTTAAAATGGAGATGGTTTGCTAGTCAGTTTCCCAGCTGAGACTCCAATTTTAGGCATTTAACTAGCACTCTTAACTTCCTAGCAAAACACGGCTACTGGGTATACAAGAAAAAACACAACTGGTCTACCAGGAAATAAACTATATGGGACTCATCCTCAATTCTAGGGAACAGAAACTGGTCCTCAGAGAGAATAAAATCCATATAGCAGATTCCTGATCCTACAATATTAATACAGCTCCAACTAACAAGTTATGGATCCCTAGGCAAAGGAAAACAGCAAAGCTCCTATGGCAGGCTCTATATTAGGCTCTTAAGAGCAAGTCACAGCCCCTCTCCTTTGTGAAAGAACCCAATAGCCTTTGCCCAGTTAAGAGCTGTCATGACTGGGGCCCCTGACCCCAGGCAGTCAGTTAGACTTGCTAACTGCTACTCAAGGAGACATCTGTGTCATTCTCTAAAAATGTTTTTTGGGGAGGGGGTTCAATCAGATTGAACAGGTACGAAATCATGCTCACAGTTTCATGGGTAAGTCCAGACAATTCTAGCACCAGGCTGAACAAGGCTAGATTTTTTGGCCTAACAACTAGTCATGGAAATTCTGGGTCCTACAGCTTCCACACTCTTGCTGCTTCTCTTTGGCCATGTGTCTTTAATGCTCTTGTCTGTTTTGTCTCTAACAGTACAAGCTGTCCAGCTCCAGATGGTCATGAAACAGGACTTGCAGTCTATCTTCAGATGATATGACCAGTCCTCTGGACCATGCAAGACTATTTCTCAGGCCGCCTTGGAACACCATAAGACAGACAGCAAGAGACAAACCCCACAACCAGCTCTATGCCCATATGTCAGTTCTGAAGAGAATGCAGAAGCTGGACCTTCATCCATGTTACCCCCATAAGAGTATGGGTTACTTCTCTTGAGGGAAAATTGTTAAGTAGCTACATAGACATAGGCCTATGTGTGAGGGGCTGAAGAAAATGACAATTTCTGTGTGATGGAACAAGAAAGTAGGACTTGGAAGCAAACTCGCATTTACATATCAAAAGTCTTGCCATGGGGCCATCGCTGTGGCACAGCAGGTTAAAGGCCCAGCCCACAGCACCAGTATGGGTGCTGGTTTGAGCCCTGACTGCTGCACTTCCAATCCAGCTTCCTGCTAATATGCCTGGGAAAGCAGTGGAGGATGGCCCAAGTGCTTGGGCACCCATGTTGGAGACCCAGAGGAGGCTCCTGGCTTCAGATCAGCTGAGCTTGCAGCCATTTGGGGAGTGAACCAGCAGATGGAAGACTCTCTCTCTCTCTCTCTCTCTCTCTCTCTCTCTCTCTACCTCTCTCTTAACTCTCAAATAAATAAAATAAAAATAAATCTTAAAAAAAAAAAAAACCAGTCTTGCCATTGTTCAATAACCTGGCTGGGTGGGTCCCAGCCCTCTCCCTGGGAGCAGCTTAAGGGAATCTCATCTGCTCTTTACCAAAGGGACTATTATGAAGTTCCAGGAGAGATTCCACACCCAGAAAACTCTCCACTCAGCAACAATCAAGAAAGGGTGTAAGGAGAGGAAGAAGAAGGCCCACGCCCAACAACCATAAAAACTCCAGTCTGAATGCAGACTGGTCTCAGTTCTTTACTGAGATGCCTGCTTGGTCTGTCAGGTGTACTGTCTTCATTATTTCTCTTCATTAAACTCTGCTAGCATGCTTACCACTTAGAAAAGTTAGGGGCTGGCGCTGTGGGGTAGAGGATGGAGTCACTGCCTGCAGTGCCTGCATCCCATATGGGCGCCAGTTCGAGTCCCAGTTGCTCCACTTCTGATCTAGCTCTCTGTTATAGCCTGGGAAAGCAGTAGAAGATGGCCCCCATCCTTGGGCCTCTGTACCCGCATGGGAGACCCAGAAGAAGCTCCTGGATCCTGGCTTTGGATCGGCGCAGCTCCAGCCATTGTGGCCAATTGGGGAGTAAACCAATGGATGGAAGACCTCTCTCTGCCACTCCTTCTCTCTGTGTAAACCTTTCAAATAAATAAATAAAAGAAAAAGAAAAGAAAAGCTAATTGAATCTTCAATATTATTGGAAACTAATCATCAGTTACATGGCTGGAAACTTGTTCTGTTAACTCTTACAGGGTATGATGTTGGAAATAGTTTACCATTGCCTTTGTGCTAATTGATTATCAGTAAATCCATTTCAACATTTTTCAAATATCAAATTGCAAATATCATGTCAAACAAACTGTACTGATGTTTAGTCAGCAAAAATTTACTTGGTGCGTATGTGCCAGGACCCTATAATATGACCTTGAGTAAGATAGGAATTTCCTGTGCTCTTAGAGTTTCTATTCTAATTATTGCGGAGCTCCTAGTCTAATAAATGGAGACATGTAAAAAGTGTTTGTTTTTTTTTTCATGATCATCACACAAGACAGGCACAAGGGAGATGATTGAAGCCATAGAATTTAACAGGTGCCTATGAGGTTGTATAGATAACAGCATTTGAGGGAAGAGAGCATTTGCAAAATGCTCTCATAAATTGGAGAAGAGATAATAGATAATGAATAACAAACAATATGGTGGAATTTTTTCCCAAGAAATTTTAGTAAGTTACCAAGACCTATCTCATAAAGATACCTGACTAATGGATTACCTATTGCTAAATGTCAGCAGAGTAATTCATCCTAAATCCTAAGTTGTATTTCTCTAGAAGTTTAAATAATTTCTGAAATTATACCCTCATCTACAAAATGATCACATTTTAAATATTTTAGATTGTTTTAGATGTTTGTTTTAGATGTTTCCTCATTGAAACATTTTCAAAGGAAAATTATATTGTATCTTGAATCTGAGAAATCTGTAGGATCAGAGTACATGAAGATCTTCTACATATAACCAAGAAATTTGCTAGGTATTTTTTTAGATTTTTTATTTGAAAGTCAGAGTTACATAGAGAGAGGGAGAGACAGAGAGTAGATAGAATCTACTGGTTCACTCCCCAGATGGCTGCACTCCCACCTGAGTGGCAGGGGCCCAAATACTTGAGCCATCTTCCACTGCTTTTCCAGGGGCATGGACCAGAAGTAGAGCAGCTATTTATCTTCTATAAATAGCAAGTATGCATTTAGGGTATTTTTACTTTTTCATTTAACAGATATTTGTTAAACCAACCACATTCTTAAAAGTTAGAAGATATAGGAGCCGGTGCTGTGGTGCAGTGGGTAAAGCCACCGTCTGCAGTGCTGGCACCCACTATGGGCACTGGTTTGAGTCCCAGCTGCTCTACTTCTGATCCAGCTCCTTGCTATGGCCTGGGAAAGCAGTGGAGGATGGCCCAAGTGCTTGGGCCCCTACACCCACGTGGGAGGCCAAGGAAGAAGATCCTGGCTCTTGGCTTTGGATCAGCACAACTCCAGCCGTTGCAGCAATCTGGGGAGTGAACCAGCAGATGGAAGACCTCTGTCTGCCTCTCCCCTCTCAGTGTAACTTTGACTTTCAAATAAATAAGTAAACCTTAAAAAAAAAAAAAGAAGATATAATAGTGATCAACAACAACAAAAACCATGATCTCCACCCACATGGAGTTTACAGTTTCATAAAACTGCTGCCTCCCCTTAGTTTTGAGTTGAGCTGGAAATTTGGTGAGAGGATTAGGATAGGAGTTAGAAAAAAGCTTGCTGTTTTTTAAAAAATTGGGTTTTTAATTTTTTTTTTCATCTACTTGAAAGAATGCCAGAGAAAGAGACTGAGATAGAGAAAGAGATCTTCTATCCTCTGGTTCACTCCCCCAAATGCTTACAACAGGCAACTGCTAGGGCTGCTGTGCCAGGCTGAAGCCAGGAGCCTGAACTCTATCCAGGTCTCCCACATGGGTGGCAGAAGCCCAAGCACTTGAACCATCTCCCAGAATGTATCAGCAGGAAGCTGTATAAGAAGTGGAGCAGCTGGGACTTGAACCAGGCACTCTAATATGGGATGTGGGCATCCCCTGCAGTGCCACAACACCAGCACCGAAAAGTACCTTCACAATTTGTGATTTAGTTGACTGACACTACCACAAATAATACTGTAGAGTCCAAAGGAAGAGTCTGTGATGTCTAACATCCTTGCCATGTGTACAGCCATGATCTGAAGAAATGAATCCCTGGGTTCTTGCTGGGGCCCATTCAGCGTCTGCTGTAGGTAAACTAACTCTTGCTCCAGTTCCCATTCCGTGAGTCACAGGTAAGCATATATAATCTGGCACATAGTAGACACTCAACAAATATTACTGATTGAATGAACAAATGGGAAGTAAACTCAGAAGTGGCATCAGAGGGCCTGAAGAGAAAATGACTCACTCCTTAATTCATTCAATAAATATTTTATTATTTTATTTTTTTAAATTTTTTTTGACAGGCAGAGTGGACAGTGAGAGAGAGAGACAGAGAAATGCTATAACCAGTACTCAAACAGTATTTTGCACTTTGTGTTTCTATGTGGGTGCAAACTGTTGAAATCTTTACTTAATATATGCTAAACTGATCTTCTGTATATAAAGAGAATTGAAAATGAATCTTGGGGCCGGCGCCGCGGCTCACTAGGCTAATCCTCCGCCTAGCGACGCTGGCACACCGGGTTCTAGTCCCGGTTGGGGCGCCGGATTCTGTCCCGGTTGCCCCTCTCCCAGGCCAGCTCTCTGCTGTGGCCAGGGAGTGCAGTGGAGGATGGCCCAGGTGCTTGGGCCCTGCACCCCATGGGAGACCAGGAGAAGTACCTGGCTCCTGCCATCGGATCAGCATGGTGCGCCAGCTACAGCACGCCAGCTGCAGAGCGCCAGCCGCGGCGGCCATTGGAGGGTGAACCAGCGGCAAAGGAAGACCTTTCTCTCTGTCTCTCTCTCTCACTGTCCACTCTGCCTGTCAAAAAATAAAAAAAAAAATAAAAAAAAAATAAAAAAAAAATAAAATGAATCTTGGGCCAGTGCTGCAGCTCACTAGGCTAATCCTCTGCCTTGCGGCGCCAGCACACCGAGTTCTAGTCCTGGTTGGGGCACCGGATTCTGTCCCGGTTGCCCCTCTTCCAGGCCAGCTCTCTGCTGTGGCCCGGGAGTGCAGTGGAGGATGGCCCAAGTGCTTGGGCCCTGCACCCCATGGGAGACCAGGAGAAGTACCTGGCTCCTGCCATCGGATCAGCATGGTGCGCCAGCTACAGCACGCCAGCTGCAGAGCGCCAGCCGCGGCGGCCATTGGAGGGTGAACCAACGGCAAAGGAAGACCTTTCTCTCTGTCTCTCTCTCTCACTGTCCACTCTGCCTTTCAAAAAAATAATAAAAATAAAGAAAGAAAGAAAAGAAAATGAATCTTGATGCGAATCGAAAGCAGTGGCACTAGACGGATACGGGCACGGCTTCGGGTCGAGAGGGAAAGTTCATGGGGGGGGAGCCATTGTAATCCATAAGTTGTACTTTGGAAATTTATATTCATTAAATAAAAGTTAAAAAAAAGAGAGAGAGAGAGAGATAAAGGTCTTCCTTTGCCATTGGTGCACCCTCCAATGGCTGCCGCGGCCTGCGAGCTGCGGCCGGCGCACCGCGCTGATCCGATGGCAGGAGCCAGGTGCTTCTCCTGGTCTCCCATGGGGTTCAGGGCCCAAGCACTTGAGCCATCCTCCACTGCACTCCCTGGCCACAGCAGAGAGCTGGCCTGGAAGAGGGGCAACCGGGACAGAATCCGGTGCCCCAACCGGGACTAGAAATCGGTGTGCTGGCGCTGCAAGGCGGAGGATTAGCCTAGTGAGCCGCGGCACCGGCCTAATTCATTCAAAAAATATTTACTGATTTCTATAAATAGTCTAGGTACTATATGACGGATACTGTTCCAACCGACCAGACATGATCATACTAACCATCAAGGAGTTAACTGTCTAATTGAAGGGACAAATCTGAATTTAAAGATCACCACTAAAATGCAAATATATGCATAATATAAGCAGTATGAGAAGAGACATGGTGTTATGAGAGGGTATAACAGAGGGATTTGACCATGTTGGGGAGCCAGGGGAGGCTTCCTAAGGTTAGCAACAAGAAAAAAAGCATTCCAGGCAGAAAAATCTTAGAAAAGTGTCAAGGCCTCAGGGAAGAATGAGGTCTAATGCGACTGCTATGCAGGGGACGCAGTGGAAGCTAAGATCAGGAAGACCTTGTGGGCCATGTAAAGAGCTCCTAAGTGCAGCACCTGAGTGTGGCAAGGTTACAGGTGTACTCACTACATTCAACAAGCACACAAAACATGGTGCCATTATGTGTGCATGTATATGTACAACATGTCTATATACATACATACAAATGTGTATACTCATATATTTTGGCAATATTATTAACATAATAAAATTCAGTCCAGGCAGTTTTAGCACGCTGCATTACAGAGTTGTGCAACCATCACCACTATAAATTCAATAGGTTTTAATCACCTCTAAAAGAAATCCCAGACCCAATTAGCAGTTATTCTCTATTCCCCCATCCAGTCAGTCTCTTGCAAACACAAATCTGGTTTTCAAGAGCCTCTATAGAGGTGCCTATTCCAGACACTTCATGTAAGTGGAATCATATGATAATGTCATTTTTTTTGCATCTGGCTTCAATCACTTAGCATAGTGTTTTCCAGGTTTATTCATGTCATAGCATGCATCACTGCTTCATTTAAATGACAAATACTATTCTGTTCTCTTACCATACCACATTCATCTGTTTACTCATTGGTGGGCGCCTGGATATTTTCCGCTTTTTGACCATTACAAATAATGTTGTGTTCGGGATTTTGTATAGATGTGTATTTTAATTTCTCTTGGGTTTACACCAAAAGCAGATTTTCTGGGTCACATGAATGGTCTTCTAGTGGTCACTGTTAATATCCATGGGAGACGAACTTTTGGCCTCTTGTGCCGTTTGTCTAGTCAGAGCTCAGAAGTGCCCCAATGGTACCGGCTCATCCTGTCCTGGGATCTTGCTGACATCCGTGTGTTTGCCTCATACTCCATCTAGCACCTGACCCACACCATTCATGCCAAATCTAACCTCGGCATCCAGCCCACGTGGGAATCTGGGGATAATCAGGAAAACACATTAAAACTCTCTTTGACTCAACACATCACTCCACCCTTCTAACTATGATACATACTGGGGGCAGCACTGCTTGCAAACCATGAGTGAAGGAATAATTTACCTACTCTTGGTGTTTTCCCCAATTTATCTAATCTATTTGTCCATAGTGGGCACGGCTAGGAAAAACCCAAAATGTCTCCTCTGCCCTCTAGAGTGGATTAGGGTTTTGTGGGTTTTTTGTTTGTTTGTTTGTTTTGTTTCTCTTCTTCCACTGTTCCATGATCATCAATAGGAGATTTTTCTGGAACTCAGTCAAGGCAGTATTCACTGTCACAATGTTTGGGAAACGTGTTCGCATTTGGTTGAACAGGCTCAGGCATATAGATGTCTCACAGTGCTCAGGACCATCCTTTGTGATGTTCTACCTGACAGGTTTTAGAGGCAGCTTTATTGACATATAATCCACATACCATGAAGCTCGCCTACTTAAAGTGTTAGTCAATAGTTTTCAGTAGATTCACAGAACTGTGCAAGCATCACCACAATCAATCTTAGAACATTTCATCACCCTCCAAAAGCATCCTGTACCTATTAACAGGCACTGCCCATTTTCCCTCAACTCTATTCCTAGGAAACTATAAATCTACCTTCTGTCTCATTAGATTTACCTGTTCTATACAGTTTTAATGGAATCACATATATGTCGAATTTTGTATCTGACTTGTTTCGGTCAGGATAATGTTTTCAAGGTTCATCGATACTATATCATGTATCAGTACCTTGCTTTTATGGCTGAGTAATATGCCATTATATCTATATACCACACTTTACTTATCCATTCATCCATTCCTGAACAATTGGGTTTTTTCTACTTTTGGCTATTAGGAATAATGCTGCTATGGACAATTGTTTACAAGTTTTTGTGTGAGCATGTGTTTTCCTTTCTCTTGGGTGTAGATCTAGAAGTATAATTGCTAGGTCCTATAATATATGCTTAACTTGTAGAGAAAAAGGCAGACTATATTTCAAAGTAGACGCCCCTTTTACACTCCTACCAGTGGTATATGGGAAGTTCCAGCATCTCTACATCGTTGCAACACTTGTTACTATCTTTTCCTCATTGTACTTGACTGAAGTGGTATTTCACTGTGCTTTGACTTGCATTTCCTCTCAGCTACTGAGGTGGAGCATCTTTTTTTGTGTTTATTGGCCATTTGTATGTCTTTGGGGAAATAGCATGCCCTGGGGGCCAGCATTGTAATATAGCAGATTAAGTTGCAATGCTAGCATCCATATCAAAGCACTGGTTCCTGTCCTGGCTGCTCCGCTTCCGATCCAGCTACTTGTAATGCACCTGGGAAAGCAGCAGAAATATGGGCGGAGTGCTTGCAACTCTGCCAACCACATGCAAGACTCCAATGGAGCTCCTGGCTTCAGCCTGGCCCAGCCCCAGCCATTGCAGCCATCTGGGGGAGAAGGAGTTGCCCACATCCGGGCATTCCCCCCCCCCCCCCGCATTTTAAATAAAGTAAAAAAAAAAAAAAAAAGGAAATATCGTGTCTGAGTTTGAATATCCCATTATACTTTCCTAAGTATAAAATATTCTTTACCATTTTGTGAGCCTGGAATCAAACTCCAATTTCTGTAGAATCAGAATCATAAAGCACTTTTGGCATGGTTTTAATATGTGATGATTTGGGGGGATGTAACTATCATGTAAATTGAAAGTCTATTATATCTTGTTTTATTTGCAAGCTTAGCAAAATTTTTCATTATTTCAGAATATCACAAAACCAGTGGCAGCACCCTCTTGGTATCTGAATTTTTGGTGTGATGTGCCTTTCTTTATCAGTCTGCATCTGTGACATGCAGATATGTCTCAAACAGACTTAGAAAACATAAATATCATTGAATGTTAACAATAAGAATTGCTTACAGACATTTTATGCGATTTCCAACATGCATATTTTAATGTATAAAAATGTTACCTATGCTGTGAAAGTTGCATATTAAAATTATGTAATTCTCAATGCTCTATTATTTTTCAATCTTACATTGACTCTCCTCCAGTAGCCTGTCAAATAACTCTCATGGTAACCTCTTCTGATGCTTTGTTTTCCAATCTGCTTTCTTTTTTGCCTATCCAAAGATATAGTAGGCAAAGTCTTTTTAAATACCGAAGCTTGGACACAGTAGGATTCTATGAGGGAGATATGCTTTGGGGGGGAGGTGGATGGAAGCGTTACTTTATCACTATCTGTCCAGTGTCATAATAAAAGGCCTTATTTTCCATTGTACTAGCAAATAAGACCAAGTTCACTTGTATGAACATACTTGTGGGGAGCAACCCGGACTAGACTAAGTTGCTGGAATTAAGACTTATTCTGTGCATCTGCTCTCCCACAATATGGTACTGGGAGAGAAGAAAACAGCTTCTACACAGCTGCCTCCAGTTCAGCCAATAAACTGTAGGACTTGCTCCTGATTGGAGGAGAGCAGCGTACTCGGCGTGTGGGCAGCCGAGTTGGGATTGGCAAGGAGGACTATAAAGGAGGAGAGAGACGGCATGCACCAGGAACATCTAAGGGGAACATCTAGCTGAAGGAACACCTGTGCAGCCCCCGAGAGAGCCGGCCGGCGGTGTGCCGCTCCCCTGCGGAAGTGGGGAAAGTGGCAGGGGGAACTGCCCTTCC